AGAGCACTGGCTGCTCTTCCAGAGGTCCTGAGTTCAATTCCCAGCAACCACATGGTGGCTCACAACCATCTGTAATGAGATCTGGTGCCCTCTTCTGGTATGCAAGGATACATGCAGACAGAACACTAGACATAATAAATAAATCTGAAAAGAAAAGATGCACAAAGCCAACACTTCTCAAGGCTGAGCTACTACATGCCTCAGGCCCTTGATTAATGACTGTGAGTGAATATTCTGGGGACAAAGTGATGACGGAACTGCTTTGGCCAAGCAAAGCCAACAAGATAATCTTCACTCTGCTTTGCAAATCGGATGACAGGCATGAGAAAACCTCCTGAGTGTCAAGGAGAGGGCAGGTGGCAGTGTATGAGTGTGTGGCTTGCTTGGGCTCTGGCCTACCTCACCCCTGGACTGCCCAGCCCTGGGAGTCACCACCTGGGCACCCCTGCAAAGGAGGCTCTGGCCTATGATGGGATGAGTCTTGAGGAGAGAGGCACTTGGGACTCCTATGGGAGAAACCTCTGCTGTCTCCCCAGATGATCGGGGTCAGGTTCCCCCACCCAACTCACGGGAAGTCCCCTGTCTCCCTGCTCCCCTCCTCTCGGCCTCCTGGGTCTGGGCCTCACTACTCCATCCTCTCCAGGGTCAGAGTGAGCAGACTTACTCCACAGTGAAGACAGGGGCACCGGCTGTCACCGTCACCAACCTCAAGCCTGCTACCAGATACGTTTTTCAGATCCGGGCAGCCTCCCCAGGGCCATCATGGGAGGCCCAGAGCTTCAACCCCAGTATCGAAGTGCAGACCCCAGGGGAAGGTAAGTGGTGTGCACGTGGAGGCGCTGCATGCAGGCAGGAGGTAGGGACAAGTGTATCGGGAAGGGAGCCACAGAAGAGCCGCTTTGCATCTACTTAGTTAAACAATTTGAGATCCACCCGCAGTAATCCACTGGGCATCTTCCCCGGAGCACACTGCAGAGGCCTCAGGGACAGCTGATGCTCCCCTTCTTGGAGGATGCATCTCCAGTGACCCAGCCTCTTTCCTAGGCTTCTCAAGGCCACTTCTTTCTGGGCCTTGCTGGATCCTTCCTGCTGTTCTTCTCTCTGCCATGACAAAGATCCACCTTGGGGCACTGTCCCTTTCTCCCACCAGGCTTAGCCTGTGAAGCCAACTTCCCTGAAGGGAAGGAGACCTGGAAGGGATCCAAGTGAGCTCTGCACATTTTAAATGGAGGGAATAAATGCTGGGCTTGGCGACACAGGCCAGCAATCTGGGCCCTTGGAAGGCCTGAGATAGGAAGATCAAAAGGTGTTCAAGGCCAAGAGCCTCTACAAAGAATTCAAAGTTAACTTAGGTGGCATAAATAAATAGTTGAGCTGGTGGTGCAAACTTAAAATCCCAGCACTTGGGGCGGGGGATCGGAAACCAAGAGTTTGGGGCTAGCCTGGGCTATGTGAAATCAAGGAACAAGAAAGACAGAAGGGAGGGAGAGAAAGGAAGTGGGAGAGAAGTGAGTGGTGTGTAAATTACATCTTGAAGTTCTAACAACAAAAGAAAAGCTGAACTTTTTGCTGATCTTGAATTGGCCTGGCTTCCTGGTGTCCTCCTCTCTCGCCTGCTTTCCCTCCCCTCCCCACTCCCTGTCAGTGTGAGGGACAGCAGCTCCCCCTCACTGCTCAGCCTGCTGCAAACCCAGCCCTCAGGAGCTCACCTCTATCTACCCTGCGCAGTTCAGGGAAGTGTTTTCCCCAACAAAGGCAGCTCCCCCTAAGAGGCATTCTGGCACCAGCTGTCAAGATAAGAATTCTTCCCAACCTGCTACACGACTCTAATCCAAGATAGGAAGTGCTGGGAGCCCAAAGGGAGGTGAAGATAACATTCAGAGGGAGCCCGGTTCTGGGAAGGTAGACAGCATGCCTTGCTGGAATGTCTGTGCTTGGCCTTGGGGCAGGTGCTGGCGAGATGAGATTAGAGCTGTGTCTTAAGGCTGGGGTCTATTTGAACCAGTGGAAGTGAGTAGGGGAGGTATTTTCATGGAGGAAGCCATCTGAGCCAAAGCCCTCATCACGCCCTGTATCCTTGCCCGGGTCCCCAGGCTGGAGCTGTTTCTCTCTCTCTCTCTCTCTCTCTCTCTCTCTCTCTCTCTCTCTCTCTCTCTCTCTCTAAGTATTGTTTACTAACTTATTTAGTTTCAGAGCTGCTTTGGCATCAGGCAGAGGGTTTGGGGGACAGTTCTAATCCTGGGTTCACCTGGGTACGGCTGCACATGACTTTAATCCCAGCACTTGGGAGGTGGAGGCAGAAGGGTCAGGAGTTCAAAGCAAAGTCATCTTTGGCTACATGAGTTGGAGGCCGGCCAAGGCTACGTGATACCCCATTCCGAAAACAAAGCAAAAGCCCACAAAGTCCTGTCTTTTTCACTTGGGAGCTATCTATGTGACTTTGGACGACCTAGGAGACTCTCTTCAACCTGTCTCCTCCACCTGACCTGGAGAGTGACCCTGGCAGGACTGTCGTGTGAGTCGGGGCAATGGAGTTCAGGCACAAGCAGCCTGTCTTAGACACGGGTGTGCGGTTAACGGACTGCTGCTGGCAGATACTCTGTGTCGGGAAAGGAACTCTCAACAGAGGCTGTGGCCCCGAGACAGCTTCTGGAAGTCTCTTGCCTCCTCTCAGAGCTGGGCTGCAGTAGAGAGGTGATGTCTGCAAACAGAGGTGTTTGGTCTTCCGGTTGCCACCGTGGGCATTGGTGCTGCTGTGTGCCGAGGGCCTGAGGGATCCTCCTAGTGACAAAAGTCTCTCTGGGTGCTTGCTCCGGAGCCTAGTCCTCTGCCTGCCTCAGGCCCCCTGTTTTGTTGGGTTTTGCTTTTCCCTAGTTGCCTCGGGGTCCAGAGACCAGAGCCCCGCAGTAGTTGTTACTGTTGTGACCATCTCCGCCCTCCTGGTCCTGGGCTCTGTGATGAGTGTGCTGGCCATCTGGAGGAGGTAGGTAGTTGGTTTCATCCTGGTGACCTCAGGTGGGTTCTGTCCCCATGTGTATAAAATATGTACACATAAGTACCTATAAGTGCACCACACACACACAACACACAACACACAACACACACACACACACACACACACACACACACACACACACACACAGAGGCAAGTTTACAGACTCAAGCACACTGCTACACAGATCCCAGTGCTGCCAGGGAACACAAGCACCCGAAACCCCAGCACATAGGAGGAGGAAGGAGCAGGAGGGTCAGAGGTTCAGCTACTTCAGCAGCTACACACAGAATTTGAGGCCAGCCTGGGCTACATGAGACCTTTGTCTTGCTTCCCTGTGCCTTCAAAAAAGATACTAGTGTGGCCGGTACGGCCCCTCCCCCACACGCTGCTCGTGCACCAGCTGCAGGCTCTGAGCTAGCTCAGCCGTGCCGGGATGAAGGGGATTTAGCTCCTTAATTCATTAAATGTCAGAAGGCATCACTGAGGATGGAATCCAGCCCCAGCTGCTCCAGTGTGATTAGGATTCTCCCGAGGCGCTCGGAGGGCCCCAGCTCCGGCCCCCAAGGGATCTGGAGCCCCTTGAACACAAGCAAAGAGAAAGTCAGTACGTGGGTGGGAGAGAGGGGGACAGGGAGGAAGACTCATCAGTCTGAGCCATGGCCCTCCCCGCAAAGAAGCTTGCAGGCAGAGAAAGCATAGGGGAGACAGATCTGGAGCCTGGTCGGGTCTGGCTGAAAAAAAAAAAATTCCATTCCCTTTGGACAGAGCAGAGGCTTCAGCCATGTGTATTCCCCGCCCTTCCCAGGGCCATCCTGCTATGCCCAGAGGACCCTGGCAGCCGCAGTCTGGGGCTGTGGTAGGTAGAGCTAGTGGGTTGGAGTGGGGTGCAGGGGAAAAGTGGGCTGGCTGGGGGGCCACTTCTCCATAGTCTGAGCCACCTGCGAGCCAGAGGGACAGTGGCTGTCTCAAAAAAAAAAAAAAAAAAAACGTGGCAGGACAAGTTTAGGAGACTCCTTCCTCATGGAGCTTAACTTTAGGTCCATGCTCTGGGCCTGTTGGAAAAGCAGGGATGGGCAGCCGCAGGGGACATCTCATCCCAGCTTTAACTATGGGGCTGGGGAGGCAGGCGCCGAAATGGGTGCACTGAGCCAGGGCCGGGGACAGCTGCAGACTCCATGTCAAACTGTCCTTCAGTGAGGAGAGCCAGGGAGCAGATTACCACACTAAGTAATGTAATTACAAGGTTTCCTTTTTAAAGTCTTATTTTTATTTGTGTGTATTGTGAGAGTGATGGCGCACGCGGGTGTGTGTGTGTGTGTGTGTGTGTGTGTGTGCACGCCCTTCGAGATCAGAAGAGGACATCAGATCCTTTGGAGCTACAGGCAGTGTGAGCCACCTAATGCGGGTCCTGGGAACTGAACACTGGTCCTCTGGAAGAGGACAGAGCTGTCTCCCCGGCCCCGACTCTAACATTTTCATATAGACTTTGCTTCATAGTTGAAATGATTACTTATATTGTTCTATTATTAGATAAAACTTGGGAGTCAGATATTGGGCTAAACCCTGATAGAGCCGAAGACAATGGAGGAACCATCAGCTGACCCTGCCTCACTACACTTCCAAATCGAAAAGACCTTACATCTTTTTAAGCCCCTCCCTACTACTTCCTGTGCCCCCCTAGCTGGGTCTTCCAAAACCTCTATGGCTAATTCTGGTCAGCCAAGCATTGCCTCTGCTCTCTCACAGCCCTCCGGCCTTTCCCTTTGGGAATGCTCTACCATCAGGTACATAACACCGTTCTACTTGGGCCTGCCTACTTGTCACTTACTCTGTCAGCCATGTCTGTGGCCCCTACTCTCTAGCATCATCGCTGGCCCCCGCAATGTCCCCTGGAGAAGGCTAGAAACCCCGCCTGCCTCATAAGCATTCTCATTTCTTACACCTCTGGAGTTTGTCTCAAAGCAGACACAGCAGGAATAGTGACGGAATTGAAAGGCCAGAGCTCTGGGCTGTCCTCAGGCTGAGGGGAGGAGGCTGCTGAGGGGGAGGAGGCTGCTGAGGGGGAGGAGGCTGCTGAGGGGAGGAGGCTGCTGAGGGGAGGAGGAGGCTGCTGAGGGGAGGAGGCTGCTGAGGGGAGGAGGCTGCTGAGGGGAGG